CGGTTACCTGATATCATCCAGGCACCTCCTTCTCTAAAAGGCTAAATGCACATTCCTGGGTGCAAATAAGAATGATGGCGCTGTAGAGAGGATGGCAAGGAGGGAGAGAAGCTTCTCTTCCACCCATCTCTGGTTTGCATATCTCTTTTTTAATATCCTTTGTGGGGAGAGGGAGGTAATTAGGTATTTATTTATTTACTTACTTACTTATTTAATGGAGGCACTGGGAATTGAACCCAGGACTTTGTGCATGCTAAGCATGCACTCTACCACTGAGCTATACCCCCCACCGTCAGATATCTCTTTCCAACCCTCACCCTCACTTTATCCAGAGAGCACACCTGCCATGTTTGTTTATTTCCTGTTAACGCCCTCCACATGTGGGGTCTGCGAGGCACAGACAACGCCCCGTGAAAGGGACACATTGCCTGAGGATGTGTGAGAACTTTAGCACAGTCCTAAGTGTGTTTCTTGAAGAGCACAGACCGCCTGCCCCACCAAGATGCTCCAGGCTCATAGCTCACCTTACTTGTGTTTTAGAGCAGTGTTTCTCAAGGTTCCGTGGGCTTAATAAACACTACTGGGGGGCTTGAGAGAAAGCAGATCACTGGCCCCCACCCCCAGAGAGTCTGACCCAGCAGGTATGAAATGGGACCTGAGAAATTTCATTTCTCACAAGCTCCCTGCAGCTGAGGTGCCGCCCGCCTCGGCTTCCACTTTCAGCAACACGGTTCCAGAACCTCCGGCCTTGGAGAGGCATGTGGGAAGGGCTGTGTGACAAGTGGAAATCTGATTATTAAACTGCACGTCCTAGAGCTAAAGACCACTTAGATGGGCAAGTAAGGGGTTTCATGAGCTGATAATGTAGTGTTTGTTTGTTTGGGGTTTTCTGCTGGGTTGCTGTGTGACCAGGTCAGGTCATTCTGTTTTTCTATATCTCAATCATTATCCCAAAGGGGTAATTAGTTTTAAAAATGAAAAGCTTCTTTATTGGTCTCCTTCGCTCAGAGATGAATACCAAGTCTGCAGATGTAAAAGAGCTTTCCGGGATGCTGTTCCACACACAAACCCAGCCTTCCTGGGCCTGGTGGGGCAGGTCAGAGTGGACCCTCCACGCTCTGCGAACAATGAAACATGGCCAGGGACCTCTGGCTGCCCAAGGTGAGGCTCTGTCATCCAGGTGGGGAGCAGGCTGCAGGAAGTGAGAAGGGGGAAGGAATTCTGTCTACACCTTCACTTTAAAACTGTTATGAATCCGACTTTTATGTCAGGGAAAAAAAACAAAGGAAGGAGGGAGAGATGGAGGGAGGGAGGAAGAGAGGATTGATTCAGAGTTAAGGACTGAATGTCCCACTAAAAGCTGGACAAATAACAAGCATATGCCTGGACCTCATGAGGAATCAAAGCAGAAGACAGACAATTCTGTACTCCCCAGCAACCTGTCAGAGAAGATTTCCCACAAGCTGGGAGCCTTCATTCTCCTGGGTGTGAACTGCAGGGGCGTGCGCGCACACACACACACGCACACACACAGCTTCGGGAGCAGATTATGTATACAAAGTACAGACACCAAGTCTAATTGTCACTGGATGAACAGGAAAAAGACACCAAATTAACGCACGTTAGAAATCCTCCCCTGTCTAATGAAGCCATCAGCAATTGCAATTTCATTTTTCGTTTGTTCGTTAACAAACAAACAAAACAAAACAGAGCACTTAGCCAGTGGTTCTCTCCCAGCCCTCCGCAGGTGCTTCGCCAGCTCTGTACTGCGCTTCTTGTAAGCAAAGGTAATTGGATATAAACGGCTCCAAATAACTGCCTCCCAGATTTTTTTATTCTAAAGTTTAAACAACGGCCACGTGGCTTTTCCCCCCTGAGATCTGGACCCGAGAGATGCTCCTCGCACAGGGGACCCTGCCAAGGAGAGGGGAAGGCTTCGTAACACAGGTGCCTTAGCCCCTCATCGGGTTGTGCAAACCATGTCAGCTCTAAAGCAGTTTTACATAACCCTGCAGGCAGTGCTGACTCAAACCCCCTGCCGTAGGGGACTAGATCTTGAGGCTCCTCGGTGGTTGCTACAGACAGCATCCTGGAACAACAGGGCAGAACTAGATCCGGCCCCCTTGGGTCCAGACCCTTCACTGCAGAGATGAGAAAACAGATTTTGCCAAGAGACTGAAGGATTCTGTCAAGGCTGCCCAGCTATTCAACAGCAGAGATGGGTCAAAACCGCGAGGGCTTACTACCAAGCAGTGTTCTTAATTGTGCAGAAGTACGTTCCCAGATGAAATGAAACTGTGCTCTAAACCAAAAGCAGCCCTTCTGCTCCGGATCGGTGAGGACTTCTAACACTGACAAGGTGGAATTTCAGAGGATTCTATTTGAAATCTTGAGGCCCCCGATCTCAGTCAGCATGCTGCCTTGTTTCCTGAGTTATTTGTATGCGTGTCTGTTTTCTCAGAAGGCTGCATCCTTGACCAGGGAAGCGCTGCCCTGCGCATCTTGGCGCCTGTCTCTTATCAGCTGCTTAGCACAGATGCTGTACGTCATGAACACTAAGTACACTCTTTTTAGAGTGAATGAGTGCCCTAAACACTCAGGCAGAGCAGGATGGCAGGGATGCTCTGTAGACTGAGAATGGGAACAAAAATAATTCTCTGAATTTTCTGAAATAGGAAACTCAGGGAAGACAGCTGCCTAGGTGTGGAGAATTAGCAGGAAGTGGGTTCGAGACTAACGCACGCTCTTCTGGGGCCCAGTGATTCAGTGATTCTCCTCTCTTTGCTTTTGAGGACAGTAAGTTGTCTTACTTGAAAGCCCTGCACACCTCTGATCAACTGCTGTCCCTCCTAAGGGACCCGCACACACGTAATCCCTTTGGAAAAGCTTCATCAGCTCAAATTGAGTCACAATACTAACCCAAATTAATTAGACTTTTAGAAAGTTGTCAACACCCTTCGAGGTGAGCTCGGCTCTGACCCCTCAACAGCTTCCCGGGGAGAAAGTGTTCAAGGTCTAAAACCTTGAAATTCTGCCAGAGGCCCTTGAATAAAAACCTCTTGCTTCTCAAAGACATTCATGCTCTGTACAAAACAGAAATAAAACAGAACATCAGACTCCAAGAAGGATCACAGAACTTCAAAGTTCAAACAGCCTATTTCTGTAGTGAGTTTTTTGTTTTTTATTTTTTTTAACAAAGAAGCAATTTGGTGTCAGCTTGTAACCCCTTAGTGGGAATCCCTGTCTCAGAAAATTGTTATTGCACTCCTGGAAACCCAAAGCATCCCTGACAGAAGCAGAACCTAGTGTCTTTAGCTCTTAAAGTCACTGAATCAAATGCAATTAAGCCTCTTACATCTCCTGGTCTTGCCCCCGCAGCAATCCAAACATGTCTTAAGCCTCCATCCACTAACTTTACCACCATAAACTCTGCCTACAAAGACCTCACATTAATAACTGGCAGCAAAATTTGCAACCTTATTCTCAAGGCACGTTTGCTTTTCATTTGCGATATAAAAGCATCGTCTAAAAGCATTCCACCAGATTCTCACAAAACCCCTTCGCATAGAGAACCCCAAGTCATCTAAGGTGTCCCCTCATGAGGATTGTCATACCCGGGTGACAGGTGGCACACAGGTGCTTCCATCTTCATTTCAGAACGAGGAAACAGCCTCAGGGACTTAAACTGAGTCAGTCAGGAGGCCGAAATAGAAACCAAACTTTGAGATGACCTTGAATCAAATCCAGCCAGAAAAGAAGGCGTAAAGTGATAGTGACACTTGTTTAGCCTAATGTGACTCCAGAAAATAAGCCAGAATCACCTCACAAAAACACAAGCATCACCGTCAAAGTCTAAGGGTTGCACACACGCCGTTGCCTTGGCAAAGTCATCGCAGAAGCTTGCTGTTTGAGGGTGCAGCCATGTGTTAGATACGCTGTATCTTGCCTGCTTCATTTTCCTTCCTAAGTGTGATCCACGGAACACTAAAATGACTATTTGTCTCACAAAATTACTTGCTACAACATGTGCTTGTTCTTAAATGCTGCGTTTCATTTTAAAGTCTACTCAAACGCACTTGGCAATCAGCATTAGGATCGGGGGCATAGTCAGAGAGAACTGCTCTTCCAGATGAAAGCAAAATTACTTCTGAAGACGTTTTCTGAAGACTGAGGGGCTCCGCCAGGGCCATGAACCCGCTGGTACCCGAGCTGGCTCAAAAATCAAGAACACAAGTGTGAGTGCCAGCCGGTGCCCTTCACTTCATTGGACAAAATCGTGTCCGCCAATTAAGTGGCAACAATGTCCCAAACTAAAAGCAGCCCTTCTGCTCCCAGATCAATCAGGACTCCTATCACCGACAAGATGAATTGACGGGGGGCACTGAATGTCCGTGTGAAGCCATCCCTTCTCTTCACAAGGCCCTTCTCCGTTCCTCACCCCTCCTCTCTCACTCCCAAACGAAAGGCGTACAAGACGAGGAGAGGGGAAAGTGGAGGCAGGAGTGTGCTCTGATAAGTTCTGCACCCAGTCAGAAGCTGAGGGGTGTAATAAGGCTGGGGGAGCCCACCCCCAAAATAAAGAGCGACGAGAAAACTCAAAACTCGGCCAACCCAAACCAGTAGCAACACGCACAGGCTCTCCAGTGACTTGGGGGAGGCATTTAACTTCATAAAACAAGGTCTGGAGGGAGTCTAGACTCTTGTTTCCATCGAGCCCATCACTCCAACTCCCTAAGCCCGATTCTTCTTGCTAAAGTTGCTGAGAACATGAAGGGACCACACTTTCAACCTAGAAAACAGGAAATAAGGGCCCTCTTCCCACTGCGTTTAAATTATGTTTTCTTATCTATCCGCCCCCCCGGACGGGAGGCTCTGTGAGGGCAGAGACTGGAGCTGTCTGGGACACCGGGCACAGTCCCTGGACCATGACGGGTACTTGGTGCATCTTTTGCACAACGGATGATTTTGCCAAGACAAGATGAAACCGGAATTCTACTCACACTTATGGGAGAGAAGCACGTCAAAGGAATCGGCCCACCGCGTGGCCTCTTCTGTGGACAGTCTCCTAGGAAAGAAGCAACATCTGTCTTGACTATTTCTGAAATGACCTCTTCTCCTTCAGCCACCACTGAGATTTGCTCAGGAGAACAAATCAAAACCATGGAGGGCAAATGAAAGACCGTACCTGGATTCCTGCAATTCTGTCTCTGTACACGTACACGTTCTTAAGCAATTGATGGGGGAAAAACATCTCAGGATTGGAATTCCGTAAATTCAGTGTGTTGGTTTTCAGTCTCAAAAGCAAAGCTAAGAAAGGGCATCGTTTGAAGACGTCACTGTAAACCAACTAGACCTCTATTAAATTAGTTAATTAGCTAATTCATTAATTTAAATGTCAAGATGACAATGGAAACTAGATTTGGAGTCAGAAGAGCCAGGCGGAGCTCCCGACTCTACCTCTCACTGTCATCTCAGTTTGCTTGCCTCTGTAATGGGAATAATGACCCCCATCACAACTCCCTGGGAGGGGGGCGCGGCAGGGAACGAGGTGCCATCTGTGACGTCATTTAACACAGTGCCTGCACAGTGTAGGCACTGAATCCATACTATCTGAACCTAAGCAGATTTTTCGAGTAGATTTGAGTATGTGTTTCCAAACTGAGAAGCTCAGATTGACAACTAAGTAGAACGAAGAAGGATCGTTCGCTGCAGCTGTATGAGACTGGCGCATGACGCGGTTTTCTTAGGAGAAAAAGGAGGATCCTATTCCGAGATCATTAAGCCATGCACTCGGAAAAGGAAAATAACATTCTTCCACTCATGTCCAGAGGTATAAAATAAGCTGCCAAGGGGTAGGAATCTATTGTTACTCAGCTCCTCTGTTCAGCCACCTGCCAGAGAGGAAGAGGTTCCATAGTCCCTCGGTGGGCACCCCACGGTGGGCACCCCGGGAGCACTGCGTGGCCGCATTACTCACTTTAGAGCACGGTTGGGCTTGTCGGGGAGAATAGCTGTGAAATCACTGCACGAGTCTGACTTGTGAGACAGGCATCCCAGTCGAGTCCTCATCCCTTTGTTCCTGCAACAAGCACAGGGGCGGAAGAACAGGGACCGTCGTGCTGGTGACTGTCAGCCCATCAGGGGCCCCTGGGCTGCTGTGGCAGGAGCCAGCGCTGCCCCCTCCCGCCCTTCCCCAGGCGGCCCCTGAAGACTTCCTGAACAGGAGGAGAAACACCTAGAGGATGGGGGAGCCACTCGCTCCCTGTCTCGACTACCAGAATAGTAATAGGTTCCCTGCCCCTAGAGGCGTCATGCTTTTTAAAGCTGACATGCAAGTTGATGGTAAGTCAATGAAGGTCGTTAGCTTGGAAGAATTTCTAAATTACAATTCTCTGTGGGGAAAGAAAATACAGGGATGACAAAACAACAATCCACATTTTGCCCTCCCACTAGGAGGGCAGAGTGGCAGCAGAAGCAGCCGTCAGCCCCGATCGCAGAGCCCCGGTGGTACCCACGACACAGGGAGCAGAGGGATGTGTGCACGATACAGGGGCGCATGTCAGAGAATCTCAGAGCACAGACAAAGTGTGGGGCTTAGAGGCAGGTCAATTCTGCCTCCGGTTCTTCCCCCCCATCCCACAAACCTGGGGACATACAAGAATGGCTACAGGCCAGTGAGGACTGATAACTGCGGGGGGCAGAAGAGCAATGGGCACAACCAGCAATTAAGAGCCAGGCTGCCCTTGGTCAGCTTTTTCACTTACTCAACTAAGCTCTCATACACCTGTTTATATTTTGGCTTAACTCAATCAACATATTTCAAATTTTAACATGCTTCCTTAAATTTCTCATATTGTTTATTCTCCTAAGGACCAGGAAATACTTGGGGCAGGTCCAATGAGAAATTATGCTAATGTCTTTTCCTGACTTTCAGTATCACCCTGCTTTTACCTTAAACCAAAGACTGGAAAACCACAGTCCTGCGAGATGCCTGTTAGTGTAAATAAAGTTTTATTGGAACACAGCACCCCTGCTTGTTTATATATTGTCTAAAGCTGCTTTCAAGCCCAAAGGCAGAGTTGGGTGGTTGCAACGCAGATCGTGTAGCCCATGAAATAAAAAATATTTAGTCCCTGGCTCTTGATAGAATAAGTTTACTGACCCCTGACCTTTAACCATGGCAACTGTTGGGATGGAGGGCAAAGGTAAGAGGGGGGATTGGGGATAATCAGGATGTAAGAGTGACTTATAAAAGGGGGCTGCCACGTGCACACTGGTAACAATCGGCCATAGAAATAGTTTTAGAAGATGTCATTCTCCTTGTTGGAAGGAAGTCTTCCAACCTGGCTTTCCTTTCCTCGTTTTCACAAATCCTGGGCCCGCGCAGAGATGTCAGAGGTCACCCAATCCCATCTCTTTCTTTCACTTCAAATGGGTTTTCATCCCTGACCGTGGTAATTGTTCACAGAAATCTTATCCAGCAAACGTCTACGGGGATGGTATGATTTGATGGGGATGGACAACACTTGTATTCCACAGCCCATCTCCGAGGAGACTTTTAAGCCCGGAATCCCCAGGTTCCCAGAAATATTCCCTCTCCTGCAGGAAAGCAGGCCTGGACGTCCTGGGCTCCCCTCTCTCGTCTCAGCCAGGCATATTGTGAAGGCATTGATTTCCTGGCTTTTCAAAACAGTGGCTATGGCCGTTCTCTCTCCCTCGACAATGAGCATCTTATGTCCACACCGTCTGACAAATCACAGGGTGCCCCAGCAGCGGGCCTTGCGGGCAGCTGATTAGGGACCCTTGAGTCATCACATTCCATGAACTCAAGTGCAGGTCCTGCTCAGGCTGCAGCACGGGCCAGAACCCACAGAACCCTCTCAGTGAGTCGGCTCATTCCTCGGTGCCTTAGAAACATCAGTCATTGAACAGTCAAGTCGATGCCCCCAAAGAGCAATTAAGAGGATTTCAAAACAGCAAATCCACGCACGCCATCTAACAAGGTTTGGCAGGGGCCAGTGCAAAGGGTGCTACTTGTTACCAAGACAACGATGAGTCTCTCAAATAGTTTGCAAACTATTCTTTGGGCAAAATAGTTCTAATTTTCCATCTTGTCTAGCTGAGACTTAACTTTTCAGTTGGGTCTGAAATAACAGCAGGAGTGAGTCAAAGGTTAAGATTACTTTGAGAAAAAAAAAAAACAAACCAAAACTGGGCTTGCCTTCATCTTTCTTCTCTGTCCCAGTAACTCACAGAGACCTCTCTGCGGTTCAGCACAAGCTCATGCACAGCCCCACACCGTAAGTCCCGCCAGCGGATGGGAGGGCTTGGTGTCAATGAAGGCTCTGTTTGCAAGGCCCCAGCTCTGCAGGAAGCACCCAGGGGAGTTCAGCGCAGACTACCCGGGAGGCCTGGGGGACGGACCCATGGGATTAGAAGGCGTGGGACAGGCTCAAACAGCAGGAGAGGCGGGAAGGTGGAGAAAGAGGAAAGGGGCAGGGGCGAGAAGACAGGTTAGCATCCGTTACCTGCGTGGCATCAGCAAAGCCGCCATACAGGCTCCTGCTTACGGTTAACCCACTGGCTGGTGTGCAGGGACGTCAGGGCGGGGGATGAGACTGCGGGGCACAGGGATCTACCCTTTCACGTCCTCTCACCTAAAATCAAAGAATCTGCCGTGAGAGGGGGCCTCCCTCTCCCCTCTGACGGCACTACAAATCCTCGCAGATGGCTCTCTGCCAACGGAGTATCTCCCCACACACCCCGCATCCCCACGAACATCTTCTTGTCCCGGGCGAGGCTGACCAACCAGGGATGGGCCAGGACCAGCTGCTGGGTGGGTTTGCGCTGCTGCCGGTGGGTCAGGAGTTCCTGCTTCCCCGACCACCGGCCATCGACAGGAAAGCGGGACACGGGCCCCCGGGAGGAGGGCATGGGTGTGGGAAACCAAAAATGACTGTTCTCTGCATCTTCCTGGAGAGGGGGCCCAAGTGACCAGCCAGCCCTGGGCGGGGGGGGGGGGGTCAGCTCTTGCTCCAGAATCGTCTGATTGGCTGCTGGTCTGCTTCCCACCTCCCGCCAAGGGAACCTGTCCCAGAGGTGGGAGTGCAGAGCCTAGGGAGGGCGTGAGCGGGAGGAAGGCTGGAAAAACTCCAAGGGAGGCCTGTCAGGCACTATCACCACTGAGGCTCACGCCTTGGCGGGGATCACAGGCACAGGCTGAAGAAATGAATATGCAAGTCACTCTCCCTGCCCACGTGGAGGCTGCCGGCCCGCCTGTGGCAGGGTCTCCCTGGGAGCCGGCCTGCTCCTGACCTGCAGCAGGAAGGGCATCAGGGAAAGGGGGTCTGGAGGTGGAGGGCGGATTGCCTGATAAGCTCTCTCTCTCCTAAGGGTCCCATTCTCAGGGCTTCCAACCTTTTGTTCCCAAAGACGGGAACCAATAGGAAGACACATGTGAAGAGTGCAGCCTATCCACAAAGGGTTCCCCTGGGGGAACCCTGACACCAAACACAGAATCCATTTTAAAGGAAAGCTAATTTAGATAGATAAGGCCCCGACGCAATGTACCCAGGGTAAATTATTTCGATATTACCTGGAACCTTTCACGAATACTTTTTAAAATACCTTTGCTAGGAATACTATAATTAATCAATTTTAAAAGACTGCTTTATTACCACCAGCAAAAAAATTAGTTAGACTTTGCATAAAGGCTCATCTCCAGGAGACTGAGCAAAGACTGCGCAATGTAAGCAAGGACCTTGCCTTAATCTTTGTCCTAACAGTGCATACACCTGCTTGCCCAGAAGTCAGGAAATCGGAGCCCTTTACAGCTTCAAGGGTCTCTAGAAACCATTATCTGGGGCCCCTTGGCTTCATTTTCTCTCGCTTGCAGGGTACAGCCCCAGGGGAAGGGGATGCCCATGCCAGGGGCCTTCATTACCTGGGCGCTGAGCAGAACCAGGGACCGCCACCCACAAGCACAGCAGGCAAGGTCACCTAGGGTGGTGATCACCTGGCCTCCTGTCCCTGCCTTGTCACTCTTCCCATCCCACTGCCGGTCCACGCCGCCTTCCGGGAGCTGCTTAGATGCCTGTCTCTCTCTCCTCCAAATCCAGCGCTGACCACCACTTCCCCTCAGCCCCTCCACCGCCTCTCAGTCCCTCCACCGCCTCCTCCATTAGCTTAGTCTTGGAGTCGATTCAATACGAATCTGCAGGATACTCTGACCCCACCTTTCTCCCAGCACCTAGGGGCTCTTAGCCCAATTGGCACTTGACTTCCGGGGGACAGAGTTTGGGTTACCCAGAGGCCAGGGGGGTCAAGGGTATGAGGGCACCATAACACATGGGCCGTAATAAGTGGACATCAAGTTGCAGGTGACTCTGGGGCAGACAGGACAGGACACGTTGGAAAGAAAGGATACTCAAGGAAAAAAAAAAACAAGGTTAAAAGCAAAGAACAAAGATTTATAAAGAGGGGAAGAGACACTAGGAGCCTCAGCGGGAAGAAAGCAATCAATATGCATGGTGAGGCAGGTTAATTAAATATGGATAATGCAATCAGCCCACACGGGCACCCCGGAGAGGAAAGAGAAAAGCCAAAGCAATACTCACTGTCTTTGACCAGTCCTCATGGCCTGCGGGGCTTTGCCAGCGGGACGGTCAGAGGCTGCGGGGAAGGAGCGCTGGGGAAAGAGTAGATCTTTCTCTTAGCAGTCCTTGGTGGGTGAAGGGCATGTGTGCATGAACACACAGGCACACTCGTGAGCGCACGCACACACACATCCACACGCATGCATGCACAACACACCTCCCACCACTCGAGCCGGGCAGCGAGCGGCCCCGCTGAAAGCTCTTCTCTCTGCTTGTCACATCCAGTAAATACTGAAGCAGCCTACACCCAGCGGGCGGCGGCTCAGCTCCCGGACACGGTCTGCACGCCCATCCTCATTGGCAGGATGCAGGAGGTGCCCCTGAGCAGAGCTTGCCTGGCGCTCCTCCTGCACCGTCCTCTTCGCAGCCTCACTAACCTGCTTCCCAGCACCTCTGGCCGCAGCTCAGGGAGAGGTCCCCACAGCCCAGAGCTGCCTCCCTCTGCACCCAGAGGCTGCCCAGGGGGCAGGGAAGCCGGAGGTATTAACTCTTTCTGGCCACCAGTGAGCTGAAAATCAAGTGTCCAGGGGGCCTCTTCTAATGAGCTCTGCTGCTGGCTCAAGGCTGGTTGCTGCTTAGGGAGCAGGGAGCAGAAAGATCTTGCCCCAGACAGCTGCTGACAGCAGGAGCCAAGCCGAATCAAATCTCCTAATGAGCCAGGAGGAGGGGGCTGTCTTGCTGGGTGTGATGTGATGTGATAAATGCAGAGAGCAAGAAAGCTACGGGGTAGGTCACACATCTAAATTCCACCCCCTTTCTCCCAGTTTCTGTTGTGCTGCGCTACCAGGCCAAACCACACAGCCCCGAAATTACCCCGCTCTGCCACATCTCCGCTGTCCCTCTTCCTCTGCTGAGGCATGTCCCCCCAGCCCGTCTCCACTCCCACTCCCCAGCCCCAACCACACCACTCCCCACTTCCTAATGAGAAATTCCCACCTCCCCAAACATGTACATTTCCAAATCTGTGCTCCTGCCTCTCACCTGGGTTCTCCTACAGTGGAAATTCACCTCTCTCCCTCATCCATCACCTAGCAACTTCCCCCTACTTGCCTTTGTGACGGAGTGAGACTTTTCCCTTTGTTCTGCCCAATCTGCACATCATCTCTATTTTTCTGTCTTCTACTGTTTTTTTTTTCCTTCCAAATCACCTTACCCACGTGGATCTCCACACTGCCTGGTTCAGTTCCTGAAGGAGGACTCTCTCTTCCTGCTTGCCCTACTACAGCGGTTCTCCGAGTGTGGCCCCTGGGCCGGCAGCGTCCGCATCACCTGGGAGTGTGTTAGAAATGTACCACCTCAGGCCCCACCCCCAGACCTACAGAACCAGAAACTCTAGGGATGGGGCCCGCCTTCCGGGTGACTCCAATACATGCTGAAGTTTACAAATCCCCACCCTGGGACACAGCTTACTTATCTTCGCCTCATTCCACCCCAGGTCTCTGGGGCTGAGTCTCCTTCTCCCACTCAGGAACCAGCTCCAAATGCACCTAGACTTTGCTGCAAGTCGTTGCTAAAACCCAGGAGGCAGCATATGCTAGAGGCAGCAGAAATCTCTACGAAAAGTGACGCTTTTACAGTAAAGACACGAGATTCGATGTGCTAAACCCTCTACAACCTAGAAAACATTGTCACATACAGTCACCCAACAACTGCATGCCATAGTCAGGGTGTTATGATCTCTGTGTCCCAGAGGGCAGAAAAGGTGACCTGCCCTTTTCAAAGTGACACAGCACGTCAGAGGCAGCTCAAGGACCAGAACTTGCTCTCTTGGGACTCTCAGAGCAGAGCTTTTTCTCCTACGTCCCGTCGGGGCCCAGTCTTTCCCGGCAGATCTACTGGTGCATAACCTATACTTCCGCGGTCAAATGACTCTGCCTCAGCCACACGTTGCCTGATGATAGGATGAAATAAAAATTCCGATGCTGCCTCCACGGTGACTCACTGTCTCTCTCTGAATAGATCCACAGTGCCCCTCTGTTAGGTAAAGGGAACTGAGTGTTATAAAAGGAGCTGCAAGAGAAACGTGCTCCGTGCCTCCGAATTCCTGTCTTGAACGCTGAGGCTAGCTGGGGTTTAGAATTAAAGCATAAAGAGAATCCTTCACTCGCGGACATCTTCCGGGTGTGCTGCACCACCAGAGAACGGCACACAGATAAACTGGGGAGCAAGAGCCCGCTGATTAGCACGCCCCTAACCCAAGATAAGTTTATACCAGCAGGCGGGTCCACCCCTGGATTCCACGCCTGTGGCTAATGTTTAATGAGCACTCAGTAATGTGCCAGACACTGTGCTAAACACTGCACGCCCTTATCTCCTTTAACTCTCACAACACACTTTCAAGGCCAACGCCTTTCCCATCCCTGTTTCACGGATGGAAAAGAGAGACAGGTCATTTACAAGCGGCAGAGCAGGTGTCGATACCAAACTTTGTGCCTCCATCCTCTGCTCCACCTCTCGCCTTAACACAAAGGCAGCGTCATCACGGGAGACTCCTTTACCGACCGGCCGGTGCTAAGACAGAGGATGAGGGTCTTTTCCAAGTTTTATGCTGCCCAGTCCGGCATCCAGGATTTAAAGGCGGCAGGTAGGAGGAGAAAGGGCACGCATGCAGATGGGCCCCAGTCTCAAGGGGGAGCTGACCAATATTAACAAGGCTCAGAACATTCAGTTAGCCTTTAGAGAAATAATACACTCACAGGAAGTCAACGAGCCAACCCAAATGTTTAAGGAAAGATACCGTAGTTAGTAAAGTTTTAAAAGAACAGGAATAGAAAAGCAGGGGGACGGGAGTGTGTGAACATGCATTAGCAGGAGTAACAAGAGAACATTTAAACAAGTCCAAACTTTTTTTTTTTTTAACCAAAACACTCCCAAACACCAGGGAGTAAGCCCACAGTGCCCTGGTTTGAGAAGCACAGACCAGTACAGGCTGCTCTCAGGGGAGGGTTCCCGTGCAATCTTCCTTCCTACAGAGGCAGGTGTATAGAGAATTCTGGCGGAATTAAGCTGCGCCGAGGGGAGAAGCGTCCTAGCGTGGTCTTCTTTCCAGAAGGAGAGGGAAAGGAAAAAGCAAGCAGGTTGGAGGGCCAGTGAGAAACGCACTGGTACTTGGACCCTGCCTCCCCTGGCTTGGGGCCCTGGTCCAGGGACACGGAGCTCCGGGTTCTTCTCTGGCTGCCGGCTGGAGACTGGGCACAGGACATCGCCACTGGCTGAGACACACGGTTTTTCCCGGGGCAACGTCATTGCAAGCCCTGAGCTGGCCCCTCGGGCTGTGCTGCCCCTCTCTGCCCCTTCCCGTGCTGCACTTGCCCTCCCTGGGGAGCCCACCCCCAGGCACCGGCCGCGGCTTCTCTCCAGAATCAGGGCTTTGGTCCTGCCTCGCTTGAGCCCCACGCTGCTTTTCCAGAGGTCTTCTAGACTGCTCCACCCCTCTCAGAGCCTGCAGACTCCACTGCCTCCTCCGGAACAGTCACCTTCCCCTCCAAATCCTCCATTCCCGCTGGGCTCCTGTGGGCGCTCGTGGCATCACTCTGTTCTAGCCCCTCAGGATAACAAGCACAGGTGTCTGGGGTTTCTTTTCCTCCCTTCCCCTTGCTGAACTGGTTTTTACACCTTGTCATTATATTTCTGATATATTTCTCAACTTCCTCCCCTCCCGTGCACTGACACTGCCATGTCAGAGGTTACCAGCGTCCAGCACAACACATGCCCTTCCAACCTCAGCTAAGCAATGGATATTCCTGCCCCGTGTCATCACCCCGTCCCCCCCAAACTTCCTTCACACTCCACCACCGTGAGGGTCACCTGTTGAATGGATTCTATAGAGCGGATCCTCCATGTAATCATCTCTGATGGACTCCATTGGAGCTCCCGGTCCTGCCTGATACTCCAGTAACTGGTCCCACTTACTTACCCAGTCTCATATCCCATTGTACACATGCACACGCACGCACACACACACGCATGCAATTCCTCTGCTGTTCTCTCTACCCTGGGTCTGCCTCTTAACTCCCAGCTCTTTCTCAAAACCCAATACCTCCAAGCCAAAATTTCTCCTTTCCAAAGCTTTTCCAGAACCCCCTCAGCCAGAAGGAATCCCTCCCTCCCCGGACCAGCACTTCGCCGTGTGGTTCTCTGACAGCCTGCATCACTCTCCGCGGCTTATCCTTGTGATTTATGTTTTCAGGTCCTCCCAGGGGACTAGGTGCTCCACACAGACCGACTCCCCGACTTTACTCCCCTTGCCATCAATTCTCATCACCACATACGGAGCAGGTGTTTAATAAATGTCAGCTGGATTTGATTTGGAGTTCACGAGAAAATGTGAAAAATCACCGAGGATTCCTTACGGCAGAAACACACCAGACTTCAGCAGTCTCGGGGTCAAGACGATGTCAGCCCGGTGCTGATGACACCCAGGGGCAGCTGCACAGGTACCTAACGGCTTCTGCAAACTATTGTTCCCAACAGCCTGGTCAGGGCAGAATGGAATTAATCAAGAGCAAAAGGACACCTGGCATTGTCACACAGGCCACAAAAATGTAATTACATGGAAGATAAAGGGAATTAGAGCCTGCAATATAATATTTTTAAAAGCCACGATAGTGGAGAAGGAGGTTTATTGCCAAATGCCCCCTGTGTGCTTATTTAATCAACATACCACCTAGGAGAGGACCACATTAAAAGCTTTTAATAAAACAGTCATTTGGATATTAGATTTGCATTCTGGTCAGCATGCTAAAGCTCTTCCACAAATCTTTTAAAAGCAATTTCCAGTTTGTAGCTTCCTAGTAACAGGAGAAACATGAATCAACATATGCGACATTGATTTGGGGTTTCCATGGAGACTGGAAGGACACAGGGAAGAGAAGGACAGAAAGAGGCCACTTGGCCCAAAATTCTGCTAAAAAAAAAATGCATCTCGATTGCATTCCTCTGAGCATTAGCAGCCTCATTTCCTGTTCATCAGTTCAAGCATCCAGATATTTAATTTGTAATAAGCCTGCTCGACTTCGCACAAGGAACAGCAGAGGGGACATGGAAAGAAGTCAGGAGCTAAAGGTGTGGGCCCATGAGGTTTGCAAAGAGAGTCCGAGAAGCACGGGATCTGGAATCAGAAAAAAGGGCCTCTGGTCCTCACTCTGCCTTTGACCAGCTCCGGGACGCTAACTGGCCTTACTAGCTGCATGATCACTAACACAGCCAAGAGCTTTGAGTGTCAATTTCTTCATCTGTAAAACACAAATTAACACACCTGCCCCGTCTATTTTTCAAGGCGGTTATAAGAAAGAAAGGAGAAAGTCTGTGGGAAGGAAAACGCTCTGCGAATTCCAGCACACGGCACCCTATTATTATATTTGGTGATGCTCTGAGCTTCTCTTCAAATGAAACTTTGCCAGTGAGCAAGTCTATGCAGAGCAAGATTGATGACTTGGTGGAGAGTAGACTGACCTGGAAAAGAGAACAGTAGGTTTGACAGCCCTGAATTCCCATCTCTGCTCCACGGTTTTCCAGATCTGTGCCTGTGGGCAAGTTGTGCTCTGTCTCGCAGTGTGATTTGCATCATGCCACTGGCTTGTTGTGAGGGTTTTCACAATCCCCACCGCGATGTCGTCAGCTTGTTGGGAGAATTAAATCAGGTAACGTCACCGAGCGTTAAGCACAACGCTTAACAAATGGCAGGTGACTGTTATCAACACGAGTCACTATTTTAGCCATATCAACTGTTTCACCATCTGTAAAATGGGAACTCAAATTCCAACTTCTTCCCTACTTCACACAGAGGACTACTTCGACAATACCTGCTCGGCTGTTTGATAAGCTGTTTGGGGAAACACGCTAAATAAATAGAATGTAACTATGTAAAGATTCACGTTTGCCACCTGCTAATTGAGGCGCAACAAGAGTGCATGAAACACAGTAAGGACTTTCAAGCTTCTAGGTGGATGGGGGTCACATAAGGCTCTGTTACCTTTTTCTTTTGTTCCTCGCGAGCCTTCCTCTGTCTCCTTACCGCCCGCTGCAGCCCTGTCCCCTTTCTGTCCTTTATGCTTCTCCTTCTAAGTGAGTCTAGGAAAAATTTTTAAATTAAGCTTTGGTGTCTACATTGCAACTGTTCCTTAGATTTCCTAAAATTA